AGGGTCTCTGGGGTGGACTGTGCACATGAATGTGTTCTGTAGGGTCTCTGGCAGGTCCTGTGCTGAGCTATGCATGTCCTCACTGGCCTTTCCCGACACATTGCTGTGCTGCTTCTGAGTTCCTCCCTGCAGCAACATCAAACCAAAGGGCAGCGATGAACCACGGTGAAGGCTCTTGCTGCCCTGTTATCATGCTCTAACCACAGACAGCAACTAGTGAGCAATAACTGAAACATCTATGTGTTATCGACTTTATTCCCATGCTGAATCCAAAACACAGCACTGAAACAGCAGCTAGGGAGAAAACAAACTCTATCACAGACAAAACCAGGACACCTGCACTCCTGCAACTGGCTCCACAGGTCACGGGCACTGCTTCGTCCAAGACCAGTCCCAGGTCTGCTCTGATAAGGGCCTGCTTGTCCCATCACTGCACCCAGACCAGGTTCTTGGCATCTCTGCTCCTGCCTCACATCTGACAGAACCACAAGCCCTTCAGGTATGCTGTGATGTGGCTGGGAAGTATTACCATTAGCCCAGCAAGATGCAGGAGATGGAGCAAGGCTGACACAGCCTCCTGGGATGAGTGTGGAGCTGCTGAGAGTCCATTTCCCAAGTCCCGGCCAAGAGGACAAGGAGCAGCCCTGTTACCTGCTGGGCAGTCTTGAAGGATGGGAGCATGGCAAGTGGTGTGAGATAAGATGTCCAGGCTGGTTCAGGAGCAGGGTGGGTGATGCCAGAGATGTAAGCATGGCCCCTACCTGTTTAGCATGAGGTGACCAGCTCCTGGTGACCAGTGAAGCTCCTTGTAGTGCTGGTTCACTGCAAGAATGTGGACATGGAACTCTTGGAACACGTCCAGAAGAGGTCCATGAAGTTGATAAGGGAACTAGAGCACTTTCCCTATGAAGACAGGCTGAGAAAGCTGGGGATGTTCAACCTGGAGAAGAGAAGGTTGTGTGGACACTTCACAGCAACTTCCAGTATCTGAAGGGGGCCTACAAGGAAGCTGGAGAGGGACTCTCGTCAGGAACTGTGGTGACAGGACAAGGGGGAATGGCTTCAAACTGAAAGAGGGCAGGTTTAGATTAGATGTTAGGAAAAAATTCTTTACTGTGGGGATGGTGAGGCAGTGGAACAGGTTGCTCGGAGAAGCTGTGTACACCCCAACCCTGGCAGTGTTCAAGGTCAGGTTGGATGGGGCTTGGAGCAACCTGGTCTAGTGAGAGGTGTCCTGACCCATAGCAGGAGGGTTGGAATGAGATGATTATTAAGGTCCCTTTCAACTCAAACCATTCTATGATTTTATGTAGTTGTGCTCACATGGCTACATGTCATCATGTCATCGTGGGCCACAGGTGGTGCAGGCACAGCCAGAGCTGCCTTCCCTCCTTTTCAGAGATGATGGTTGGTTTTGTTTTAGCGGTGTTCTTAATGTTTTCAGTTTCACTGTCCGTGGGGCTTCCAGCAGGCACACACTCAGCTGCGTTCAGGCACCAGTGTCCCCCTGGCATGGGTGCTAGGGCTTTTCTGAGGAGAAGCAGAGCAGGGAGCTGAAATCATGGCCCACCACTAAGAGACAGGGATGGCACATGGATGCTGCTTCCACAGATGCCACGGCACTGGGACCCAGGCATGAGAAGCATTGACAGGAGATAACAGGAGGCAGCAAACAAATGCTGCCAGGTGCTGTGCTGACTCTGCTCCAAGAATATTAATGATACAACAAATATTTGCAGCCCTCACACTGCAGGCAGCCCTACATTGGCTTTGCAGCTGGAGCGACAGGGAGGGAATAGGGCACAGCAATATGCCTGCACAGCAGGGACCTTACCAGACCCTGCTGGCAGCTGGACGTGGGCTGCTGCAGCCTGCAGCCATGGCGCTGGGTGGGGAACAGGCACGGCCTTGCTGGGCTCAGCAGCACACAGTGCTCTGGGAAATGTAGTCTCCCTGCATCACCTGGGCTGTGTGCTGTTGGGCAGCACCAGGCTGGGGCTGGGACCTTATCCCATGTACTCCGGGCTCCTCGAATTGACCTGGCCTTCTAACAGGATGTAACAGCTCCTGCTGTGCCCCTCTTTCCTGTTTCTTACAGGGAAGAAGTGGGAGATGTTTGTCAGGGACCAGTCATCTCATAGAGGAGGGAGGGAACATTCAGGACATGGTGGGCAGGTGCACAGATCTGCTGGTTTGTCAGTGCAGGGTCTCTGGGGTGGACTGTGCACATGAATGTGTTCTGTAGGGTCTCTGGCAGGCCCTGTGCTGAGCTATGCATGCCCTCACTGGCCTTTCCCGACACATTGCTGTGCTGCTTCTGAGTTCCTCCCTGCAGCAACATCAAACCAAAGGGCAGCGATGAACCACGGTGAAGGCTCTTGCTGCCCTGCTGTCACGCTTTAACCACAGACAGCAACTAGTGAGCAATAACTGAAACATCTATGTGTTATCGACTTTATTCCCATGCTGAATCCAAAACACAGCACTGAAATAGCAGCTAGGGAGAAAACAAGCTCTATCACAGACAAAACCAGGACACCTGCACTCCTGCAACTGGCTCCACAGGTCACGGGCACTGCTTCGTCCAAGACCAGTCCCAGGTCTGCTCTGATGCACCATTCCCAGAAGGCAGGGTGAAGATGTTTATTAATTCCTGAGCCTTCTTCCAGTGGGAGAGGAAGGGTGCAGAGCCCAGAAGGAGAAGGGCAAAGAGGACAAAGGCCCTCCCCCCTCCCCCCTGCAGATCCATGTGAGCAAAGCACAGCCAGGGAGACCTCCTTTCTGCTCTTCCTCACCAGGGATTGAGGAGCTTAATTCAGGGTTTGCTGCAGGCTCAGCCCAGCCTGACTTTGCATCCAGCTGCCCAGAGTGTACTTGTCTGCACCATGGGAGGGATTTGGGGCACTGGAGACTTTTAGCCATGTCTCAGTTCAGCCCTGCTGTGTCAGGCAGGAGCAGAGCGTGGTGGAAATAGCACAGTAGAGTTAACAAAGCTGATGAGAGAAGGGACTGCAAATCCTGCAGCAGTAATTTCCACAGTCAGAGCTATCTCCAGGGCTTTAATTTATCCATTACAACTTAATTGGATGTAAACCCAGTCACTTGTGAGCAGCAGGAGCTCTGAACAGGCAGTGGTCTTGAGTTTCTCTCTGCAAGATGCCTTACCAGGATTCCCCATCTCTGCTGCGGTGCCTTGACCCTCAGGGGGCTGCTGCACTCAACTGACAGGGAGAGGCTCTCCTCATTGCCCCAGCTGAGCTGGCTTTGCTCCTCTGAGTGGCTTCCCACACCACTGAGGAGCTGGTCACTGGGCTGTGGGTGCAGCAGGTTTCAGGTACCAGGGGTGAGCCCAGGCAGGCAGGAAAGGCAGCCAGCTGGCTTCCAGGGTGGGAGGGCACAGGATGCAGCCTCCTACCCCCACAGGCACATGTTAGTCTCTCCTCTCACCCATGAAGCTGCTCCTGTCACTGTGTCAGGCTGCTGAGGCCTGGGAAACCCTAGAATGTGACCTGTTTCACAGCATGGTAATCCCATGGCTGCAACAGCCTCCCTGGCACATGCCATCCATCACCCTGGCAGGCTGGAGCAGTACTGGTGAGGCAAGGGATGGCTCAGACCCTGTGAGATTGGGACTGGCAGAGACCTGTCACCAGGCCCTGCCTTCCTACATGTAGGACACTTGCTCTGCACAATCCCACTCCCTTCTGCCGACCAGGAAGAGTAGAAATACCATGAATTTCTAGTGGGGTGGGGCAGGGTGCTGTTCCCACTATAAATAAGTTAGAGGCTCAGTTTCTCTGCTCTAGCCCACAGGATTATTCTCCCTCCTGGGACAAGGAGGAAAACCCAGGGCTTATGGTCCGTGGTGTTTTTTGCTGTGCTTGGTGGTACCTGGAGTTGAGCGCTGGCCAAAAAATGGAGATACTCTATGTGGTTGCTTTTGCCCACAGGGAAAGCAGCTAGAGTGGTGCAGGGTATGTGGAGCCAGTCCTACCACACAGGGAAACAGCTGTGGCGCAGGGCAGTTTGGGGGGAGCTGAGGAGTCAGGGTTGTGTCAGCGGCCAGGGAGGTGGCTGGGGCAGGGCTGGGCCAGCACAGTCAGGTGGATGCCAAGGAAAGCGTCAGCAAAATGTGTGAGACTGAGCAAGGGCAGATCCAGCTGCAGAGAGTCCCTGGGCAGGAAGGATGGGACAGATGAGCCTCAGAGCAGGCAAAAGGCCTGGGGGGGAGAGCAGGAAGCAGGAGGAAACAGGGGAGAAGTGGAAGATACCATGAACAGGAGGAATGCGAAGGGCTGCAACAGGCACTGGGCATGCTTTTACTGAGAGCACTGAGTGCTTCCCTGATCCAGAGGACAGATCCCACCAGCACCAGAACACCATCCAGGCTGGGGTGGGTGCACAGGGAGAATCAGAGCCCCACATCCACAGCATTCATCCAGCACGGTGATGGCTGTGTGGAGAAATACGAGCCTGTATGAGCCTGTTCGAGCACCTGATGAGTGGGGTTTGTCCTGGCACCAGCTGCTTGTATGGGGGAACTGGACCCACGACACTGTATGGGGTGGGGCTGAACATATGGAGAGATCGGATCAGATACCCACAGCTTTTGTCCATCCATCAGGGACTGGGTGTTATGAGGACAAAGAGAGTCCCGCAGCTACAAGGGGCATCCAGGCGGGGCCCAGGGGAGTAAGTAAGCCCCGCATTTACAGTGTGCATCCTGGTGGGACCCAGGGGAGGAAGACTCCCACGCCTGCAGGGCGCACCCAAGGATAGGGGACGGTCAGACCCCTCTCTCCATGGGGTCTGCCCAAGCCGTGCCCCGGGACCTCACAGCTCCCCCTGGCGCCAGGGAGATGCCCGCTCGGCACCGACCGGGAGCTTCTGCTGGCGGACGCGGACATCGGGGCGGGCGGGACCCGGCTCTGCCCGCCGGGGCGGGGCGGGCGGGGGGGGTGTCTCCGGCAGTGCGGCGGGTCCCAAGGAGTTACGGGACCGACATGGAGTGGGAGAAGCTGCCGCGGCGGCCCAGCGAGGGCGAAGGGGAGGCGGCGGGGCCGTGGCCGGGCTGCGGGCGGCTGCGGCCCTCCTCGTACCGGGCGCTGCGCAGCGCCGTCTCCACCCTGGCGCGCGTCGACGACTTCTACTGCGAGAAGATCGGGGCCGGCTTCTTCTCCGAGGTCTTCAAGGTGTGCGGGGCGGGAGCGGCGGTGGCGGTCCGCGGGGGCATCCCGCCGGGATCGGGCATCCCCCGGGAGCGCGGCGTCCGGCCGCGCCCTCGGCGGGGGTCTGTGTGCCCCCCCTGCAGCCCCGGCGGCCGGGCGAGGCCGGGGGGTGTGCGAGGCGGTGCCGTGCGGCGGAGACTCGGGGCGCCCCCCGGGAGCGCCGTCCCGGCCGGGGCGTTGTGGCTCCATCCCTCCGGGCAGGGGGAGGGGAGCGCCGGCTCTGTTTACAGCCGGGGAGGCTGAGCGCTCCCAGGCGCAACGCCGTGGGTTGCGGGGGGGGGGCAGGGGGTCGGGGCACGGGTGGGATGTCGGATATTCACAGACCCAGGGACCCCTGTCAAAAGCCTGGAGAGCCGACCCCGCCGGCCCCGGGGTGTGCCTGTGGCGGGGGATCCAGGCAGCGTTCGCAGCCACTCCAAGGTGATGTCCGGCGTTGCCAGGCCTGCTCCAGCCAGCGCTGGGCAGATGGATGTGCGGGGTGCCCCACCAGAGCCTCACGAAGGTGTCCGGCTGTGGGAGAGGGCTGCGATGCCGTAGAGCGGCACAGGGCCAGCCCCAAGCTGGGATCCCAGAGCTGCCTTTGTCCTCCAGCCTCTCTGGGACTGTCAGTGTGGGGACGCCTGTGTGTGGCCCACGCTCTGGTTGGGGGTGTATGAGTTCTGATGGGGAGCTCAGGGTCCCAACAGTGTGGCAGAGGTGCGTGGTGACAGCACCCTGCCAGCCCACACACACTACTGCCAGGGCCGAGGGGTTGTGCCTTGCCTGGATGCCACTGCCACCTCTCCCGTCAGAGGGGGAGGTGTGTGCACGTGTTGTTTTCAGCCTCGGCATCACTTGAGGTGCCCTAAGCCATTGGGCGAGGACTGCCTTTAAGCAGCGCTTCCAGTGGCTTCATGCCCCTCAAAGAGCAGCTGCAGACTGGGCACAACCCCACCACCCCCCACCACAGTCACTGGGGTCGCAGCAGCAATGCACTCATCCCTTGCATGGGACCACGCTCACACATGCAGCACAGCTGGGCATCCACATCCCAGCAGGACCCTGGGGTCCCTCTCCAGCCCTACCACCACTCAGCAGGGAGACCCTGAGACCCGGCTCTTCTGCAGTCACTGGAGAGGTGTCCTGCAAGGGACCATGGATGGTGTGCAGAGGGGTCCCTCTCCTCCATCCTCCCTCCTGGAGCTCCCCGCTGAGCCATGACCTCTCTGCTGGCTGGGTTCCTGCTATTGATCTCTGGCTTGGAGCACACAGCAGCACTTCGAAGCGGAGGGAGGCATTTAATAATGTCAGGCGTGCATACGGCTCTTTAATAATGGATGCTCCCGTGTCTCAGCCAGGCCATAGTCTCTTCTTGCCTTGCTGTTTTTTTCCTCAAGCTCTGTGGGAGCTGCAAAATGCTCCTTCTCCCACATGTTGTTCATGTTCTTGTGGGGCCACTTGCATGTAGGATTTGGGGGAGTGTCAGAGGTTGAGGGACACAAGCATAATCAGGAGCAGGAGTCAATGTGTGTGCATGGTGGTGAGGAAGTAGGGGCAGGAGGGGGCCAGATGGGGCTTTGTACTCATGCAGTGGGTTGAGTCCAAGAGCTCAGCAGGATGGTGGAGCAGGCCTGGGATCTGAGCTGGGGTTTGGCCACCTGAGCTTGCGAGGAGGATGGAGCTTGGCAGGGCAGCCCAGTACCCATTTTCTTCCCGTGTCGCGACGGGGAACTCTGAACACTTAATGTAAGGATCCAAAAACTCCGTTTATTGAAGATTGAAAGCAACTTAATATACACTGTATAATAGGCTCATACATATTACAGAGATTAGGCTCCTAATTGGTACTTTACTAATAGGTGATATCATCTCAACTGCCTTGCCTTGTTTACACAGGTGGGTAATCAGTTGCCTTTGTTTTGGTAATGCAACCTCTTGTTTATCACCCAGCTTTAGCACATCAAAGACACTGTTGCTTTCTCATGGCCCTGCGTCTCAGAGTTTCACACGAGCTAAGGCAAGAAGTTCACACGAGCTAATTCCCTACATTCCCGCCTCCCTTGTTCCTGCTGTAGCTTTCCAAGGCTGTGGGCACTTGAATCTCCCTCCTCTGTATGGTTGCTGGGTCCTGCCTCGTTTCAGCCTTGGTGGGCGTCAGGGACAGGGAGGGGAACTGGAAATCTCTGCCCCTCTGCAGGTAGCTGGGCCCTGGTGTGCAACCGAGCCAGGGCCAGGCAGGTTGCTGGAGTACCAGCAGAAGTATCTGACTGTCTTCTCAGCATTAAAGCCAAGGAGCTCGGTGTGTCCATGTCCTGGTGTCCCAAGCTAGCCCCTCCACTGAGCCTTATCCTGCTTCAGCCAAGCACTTTTTTCAGGAAAGCTGTCCAGAGCAAACAAGAGACACCAGTGACGAGAAGCTGCCGTTTTTCATGGTGCTTGCTCATGGTTCCCCACTGTGCTGCAGAGCAGGGCTGTTTGCCTCTGGAGCAGCTGGTTCTCATTGCCTTTCCCTGTGTGACTTCAGAGGCACCAGTTCCCCCATTTTCTCAGATACACAGACATTGCAGGAAGCCACCTCTCCATTTCCAATAGACTGAGCAGATGGAGCCAGGTGTGTTTGTGCCAGGCATTTTCTTCAGCCCTTAAACTACTGTTGCATCTCTTCCCCACATCCCTCTCTTACTTTCCTGTGTGCTGTCTGCAGCAGATACAGGGGCTGTAGGCAGCATCCTAGGGGCTGTATCCAGAGGTCTTCAGTCATCCAAATCTGCACCTTATGCCCTGATGTTGCACATCTTCTTGGAGACGCTGCTTCCCAAGGTGCAGCCCTATGGTGGTGCTCTGCCCAGCACCCCATTTCCACGGTACCCTGTGTGTGTGTGTATGTGTGTGTGTGTGTGTCTGTGTGGATTAGCAGCTCTCAGAATCGACAGAACTCAGGAGAGGATTTTGGCATCACTGTCACCCACCCGTCTCTGCTCACTTCCCCTCCAACCTTTGGGATTTTCTATTTAGTCCCAATTTTCCAGTGCGACTAACAGCACAACTCCCTCCCTCTTATCAGATGGCCTTAATCTGCCTTGTTTTAGAGAGTAGAGTGAAGCAGCATGACACAGATGGGTAAACTAAGGCAGACAGGTAGGGGGTGAATTTGCCAAGGTCAGCCAGCTGTGGCAAGGAGCAGCCCTGGCCCCGCTATCGCTGCTCAGAAGTCCCAGGCACTGGAAATGTGTTGTGCTGACTGGCTGGAGACGTGCCAGCACCTCTCCTGCTCTGTCACGGGGTGTTCTCTCAGCTTGCCAGTGAGGGCTGGCAATAATTTGCCACCATGATGCGACACCTGCACTGCCCCGGCTCCTGGTGTGCCCACAGTGCCGCTCCTGGGAGCACAGGAGGTGGGGGCTGCTGATGCTCAAACTTTCTCCAGGAGCAGGTGCTGGGTGCACTGACTCTTTCAGTTCCTTGGAGGAAGTCTGTCTTGACTGATTCTGCCTTTTCCTTGCGATGAGCAGGTTTTCCAATCCCACTCAGTTGTGTTATTGGGATTCCCAGGAGCTCCTGCAGGTGTTGTGAGTAGCTGTGGGATCACCAATGGCATTGCCAGCTCCCTTACCTGCCCTTCTGTCTTTCTCTGCAGGACTCTCCTGGGTGAGGAGTACAGGATGGTGTCCCTACATGACTGTGCCTTGCCTGTGTGGGGCAGGGAGCAAGGGAACATGCAAAGAGTGGGGATGTGTGCCAGCCTGTCCCCAGCGCAGGGTGCAGGGGGCTCTGGCTGCTGAGACCTCTGGGTGGGGAGGTGCCAGGGGAGCTTTTCCCTGTGTCTAGACGGGAGTGCCGGCTGTGGGGAGGGAGCAGGCCGTCTGCTTGCTCTGATTAGCATGCTCTTTAAATAAGACTCTAATTTCCGCTGTTAAAAGAGCTCAGATCCCTTGTGCCCAGGCTGGGGCTGCAGCCAGCCCATCCCATCCCCCAGCCTGGCATGCTGGCGACAGATGGGATGGGGACCCAACATGCCACAGCACCCCAGCTCAGCCACGGTACCCAAGGAAGTGCCCAATGGATGGGCCGTGTGGGATGGCAGGGAGCATTGGTGAGGGGCAAGGTCTTGCCTTTTTCCTGGGTGGGGGACAAAGTGGCTTGTTCTCCCCCTGCAGCCCAGCACGGCTGCCCGGCTGAGCTCAGCTCTGGGGAATGTGCTGGGATTCCTGGGCACCATGCCAGAGTGCATGAGAGAGGCAAGAGGGGACGCCATCCTGGTCCTGCGCAGGGAGGCTCTGCTGCCTGCTGCCTTTCCTGGATGTCAGAGAGGGAGGAAACCCCCTTAGTGAGGCACTTTGTCCCCACTGGGGTCATGGCTTGTGCACTTCTCTGCTACTCCTGCTTCCAGAGGGCAGCCAGGACGCTGGGCTGGTGCTAGCACCTGGACAGACTGGGTAAACTGGCCAGCGCATGTGGGATGCCATGGGAAGGCCAAGGGAGCATAACTTCTTCGCTGCTGTCCCAGGTATGGGAGCCATGAAGCATGCAGGGAAGGTGGCAGGACAGGGTCTCACAAGTGAGCTCAGGGCACTGGACACCCTCAAGGATGTTGTGCCTCATGGGTGTGTGGCCCCTGGAGTGGAATGAATGACCCTTGGAATGGAGTCACAGAGAAGGACATCAAGGCAGGGCTGTGCTGACCAGGGGCTCCTGGGATGCCTGGGATAATTCCTGAAGAAGGGGCTTTCACCCCACCTTTCCTTCGCCCCCTCTCCAGTCTTAAGGTATCCGACACCACGTGGCTGCACTCAGACCTCACCCAGCCTTTTCCAATGGCAGGTGGCTTTTTAATGAGGAATTAAGCCACAGGCGCATCCTCACTGTGCAGGGCTGAGCTGCTGCCTGCTCAGACGCTGCTCCCTGATGCGGGGACGCTGCTGCTTGGGGGGGAGCCGGCCAGGCCCAGGACACATGGCCACCAAGTGCCAGTGCTGTGCGTGCCACACGGCATTCCCAGCGTGGGCACGTGGCGCCGGGAGCCTTGCCGCCCACAGCCGTCCCGGCGGGCATGAGCCTGCCTGCGCCACTGAGCCGGGTCCTGCCGTCTGGCAGCTGCCAGTGGCAGCCAAACTGACTGAGCCAGTCCTGCCAGCCCCACATGGCGTGGGAAGGGAAGGAAGCACTGCTGCCAGGGGAGCTGGGTCAGGAGTGATGTGTTTTGCTGGGCACCAAGCACCAGAGACTTGGCAAGGCTGGGGGTCCCGCTGGCCTTGTCCAGGCTCTGGCTTCCTTAGTTCCCGTGGGGAGCTGGAAGAACCGAGGGAAACTCTGCCCACCCCGCTGTGGTCAGGCAGGCACCCTCCTTAAAGCCTGCACAAAGCCTGTCTGGGAGCCTGGTTTCTGTGTCTGGCGCTGCCCCCAGCTGCCCCACAGAGAGGGATGGGGTGGAGGGAAGGCAGCAATGGTGGGGATAGGGTGGGGGTACCACTTGCCCTGGATCCAGGTGTGGCCAAGGAGCCCTAGGGCACCAGGATGGGGCTTGCAGCAGTGCCAGGTGCTGCGGGGCACTGGTGGGGTGGGTGGGGCAGTGGGCACAGGGAGGAGAGGACCTGGAGCGCCATTTGACGAGGCACTCTGGGTGTTCTGCACAGCAGACACTGTACTATCATCCTGTGACACGCTCTCCCTGAGCCCAAGAGCTCAGCATGCCCAGTGCTCAGCAAGGAATAGCCATGGGGAAATGCACCCTCCCTTCTCCCTGCAGCATGTGGGGTGCCAGGATGGGGGTACACAGTGGTAGGTGTCTGAAATGTCCCCTTCTCACTCATCCAGGGTCCATCCTGATCTCTGCTACCAGGTGGCCCCTGTCTGTGGGTCAAGGGTGCCAGCTGGCTCGCCAGGGCTGGCTGGAGGTGAGCAGGTGTAACTGGAGCACGGTGCCCTCAGGCAGGTGCCTGCTGAATTATTCAGAGCCTCTCCAGGAACTCAATGAGCTGATGGTGGCAGGGCACTGGTGTGACCATTGTCTCTCACTTCCACCCTTCCTGGGGCTGGTTTGGCCCTGGTGCACACAGAATTGTAGAGGCATCTTCATAAAGCACTCATTTCCCCCAGGCCCTTTGGTAGAGGGGAGCTACTGCCCATTCCCTGGGTATTTGGTGTGGGATAGATCCCCATCGTGGTGTACACCCCAGACAACTGCTCACTGAAGCAATGCCAGCTATGGTGTAGGAAGAGAGCCCTGGCAGGCCCAGCGTGCCAGCCTCCCCCTGTTGTGATGGGGCCAGGCTGTGAGCAGGATGCGGGGTGCTGGGGTTCCTACCTCCTGCCAATTGCCCATGTTTTGCCTGTGGAGGCAATCCCTGAGGTGAGGGGTGCTGTGAGGCGGGCCAGGGGCTGGCACCAGCACAGCAGCCTCAACCAGCATTGACTAAAAAGGAGAAGAGCAGGGAGCTGACGGCAGCGCCGAGGAATGCTTGCGCCTCCGTGCACAGCTCCATGTGTGCTGGGGGGCAGCTGGGATACACTGGGATGTCCCCCTGATCAGCTGCTGCTCCAGGGTGGGGCACATCCCACCCCCAGCAGCTGCTCAGGAGGGGACCCTCAGCACTGGTTTGGCCCCCCCAGCGCAGTGCTGGGTCAGGGTATCCCGTGCTCTTCCCTTGCCCTGCACATGCCAGGGAGCTGCAGATGCACGGGGTGTCCGTGCTTGGCCATGCTCCAGCTGCTGTTCTTGGCGGGGGACCAGGCCCCCGGCTCGCATGACAGCATCGGGCTGTGGCCAGCTAAATATACAGCTCCTCTGAGCGCTGTGACCTGCCAGACTGGGGTCAAGCACTAGGGCAGCATTGGCCACCCCTGGGGCTGGTGTGGAGGGGCAACGTGTCCCCTCTGTTCTCCACCCCATGTTGGTAGGGTCTGGCTGTGTGGTGCTGACCCGAAAAAGCCCTTCCTGGCGTGCCCCAATCCTGCACATGCCTGTTCTTGCAGTAGGGCTGGGATCACAGCTTATGGGGGCTGTTGTTGCCCCTCTGGGAGGTCATGGCAGTGTCACAAACAAGGTGCCCTGGAAGGATGTGGATGTGTCATCAGTACTGGGAGTCCTCAGGGTGCTGCTGTGCTGAGAGAGCCCTCCCTAGCCCTAGTGGTCCCTGGGTTGCCCTGTGCCTTGGGTATGTGGGGTGCTTAGCTCCTACCTCTAGGACTGGGGTGGAAGCTGGGTGCAGTCTGGTGCAGGGGGGTTGTGGGGCTCAACCTCCTCGACACCCCTCTCCAGGTGCGGCACCGCCAGTCAGGGCAGATCATGGTGCTGAAGATGAACAAGCTGATCAGCAACCGGGGCAACATGCTGAGGGAGGTGCAGCTGATGAACCGCCTCTCGCACCCCAACATCCTCAGGTAGGACCTGCTCCCCTGCTGCTGGCACCATTGCCCCCTTTTTCCCTTGCCTGGGGGTTTGGAGCTACTGCTGATGCTGGATTAGCTCCTGGGGCTGGTCCCTGCTGTGGCCACCCTCAGATCCCCTCTATCTCACAGGTTCATGGGGGTGTGTGTGCACCAGGGACAGCTGCACGCACTGACAGAGGTAAGAGTGTGGCAATAGCCACAAATCTTGGGATTCCTGCAAGCATGGGGGCAGGACAATGATGGCTGTGGGAATACACTCTTGGCCTGTGGCACATGTACAGGGCAAAGTCTACTGGGAGGCTGTGCTGTGGGGTGGTTGGAAGATGCATTAGGATGAGAGATGGGCAACCAGCATTATGGGAGGGGGGATGCAGTGATGCAATGGACCGGCTCTTTCCATCAGTACATCAATGGTGGGAACCTGGAGCAGCTGCTGGACAGCCCTGTGCCCCTCTCCTGGTCCACGCGTGTCAAGCTGGCCCGCGACATTGCCTGTGGCCTACACTACCTGCACTCCAAGGGCATCTTCCACCGTGACCTCACCTCCAAGGTACAGGATGCTCCAATTGCCCTTGTCCCACACCCATGTCGCTGCCCCAGCCATGGCTGGCTGGGGAGCAGGAGGCTGCGGTGTGCCCGGCATCCTGGGAGCAGTGGCTGGTGAGGCAGGGCTGGTGCAGTTGGTGTGACAGGGGTCCTCCTGTGCCCCCAGAACTGCCTGGTGCGCTGCGAGGCCAACGGCTACACAGCTGTAGTGGGTGACTTCGGCTTAGCGGAGAAGATCCCCACCTACAGGTGCGTGGAAAGCATCCACCTATCTGGCCCATCCCTGGAGTGGGGGGTTTCCATGCCACTTGCAGCAGGAGCTGGGGAGGGATGGATATTTGAGATGCAGCTAAAAGGATAGGAATAAGGGGTGGTGGGGTGGTCCACAGCAGTAGGGACTTGTGGGGCAGATAGACACATTTGGGGTGGGCTAGAAGTGGACAAAGAAGGGTGTGGTGTGGCTGGGGAGAGATGATGTGGGGCTCATGGGGGAGGGTTAGTCCAGGAAGGGAGATGGAGATGGTGATTTGGGCTGCAGCAGCGGGAGTGTGAGGAGGTTGGACAGACAGGGGACTGATGCAGCCCCTAATACTCCACCATGTCCCCCAGTGAGGGCAGCGAGAAGGAGCCGCTGGCCGTGGTGGGCTCCCCGTACTGGATGGCACCCGAGGTGCTGCGTGGGGAGATCTACAATGAGAAGGTGAGGCTCTGTGGCTGCCTTGCGTGGGGCTTTACCCAGGCTTGTGCTGCCAGTGGTTTGCAGAATTTCCAGCCCTGGGGACATTTTCACACCTAGAGGGAAGGAACTGGGCTTCCAGAGCCCCTGGTGTGGCTCTGCAGGGAGGAGGAGGGCTGTGGCTTTGCAGAATGGTGGGCACATCGGGGCCGTGGGGCACTCCTGTGACTCCCCACTCTCTGCAGGTCGATGTGTTTGCATATGGCATCATCCTGTGCGAGACCATCGCTCGCGTGCCAGCTGACCCCGACTACCTGCCCCGCACTGAGGTGACTCTGTGGGATGGTAACGGGTAGGGAGAGTGGTGGGCAGCAGCGCCAGGGCTGGGATTGCTTCACCAAACAAGAGAGGCCATTCTCTTGTGTTGAGCAGAGCCCTATATGCAGGAGCTGCCCCACACTTCAGGGCAGGGGTGCTCCGTCCCACTTGCTGGCTGAGGAGGGATAGTCTCTGCTGGTAACCTGTCCTTGGAGCCCATAGTCAGCCTGAGTGGGAGAAGTGGACAGTTGGATTGAGGCAGAGAGCGGGAGGCATCTGTGTACCAGCATCCCCCAGCCTTACCACAGTGTGGGGTGACCCCAGGGTATACCCTTGCTGTGCCCCACTCGGGGTGCTTCCAGGTCCACAGCCCTGGGTGGCACGCAGTCAGCATGGGGATTGGATCCAGGCCATTTCAGGTCCCCTGGGCCATGTGGTGCCCCAGGGGACCCAACTTCACTCTTCCTCCTTTCTCCGTTGCAGGATTTTGGTCTGGACGTCACCACTTTCTGCACTATGGTGGGAATGGACTGCCCAGCGGCCTTCCTCCAGCTGGCTTTTCACTGCTGCAGTGTGAGATTCCCACCTCCACGGCCCTTCCCCACCAGGGCAGCTGGGCAGGACAGGCTGCCTTGCCTGCTCATGGGGAGAGCAGGGAGCTGCCTTTGCTGTTCAGGGCTCCCTGCGGTGCTTGGGCAGGGCACAGACCTGATGGGGAACCTCTCCTGTTCACAGATGGAGCCCACCTCCCGCCCCTCCTTCCTGGAAATCACACAGTGCCTGGAGAGCATCCTGCAGCACCAGCTTGGCACCGAGGGTGCCAGGGCCACCTTCTTTGGCATCGGGGAGAGCCTGCCTACACCTGAGACCTCAGCCACACTCGGTACGTGGGCGCCCCGGGGACAGGCCATGGCAGGGTGCAAAAATGGGGGCATGTGAGGTGTCCTGTCCTACCCCATCAGCTGTAGGGGAAGGAGACAGGAGTGTGTGAGGTGTGCAGATGGAACTGTTCCCTGTTCCCTCCTCAGGGTGCACCCCTGGGTGGTTGTGTGCCCAGCACCCAGTAGCACCCTACATGGGCAGCTGCTGGCAGCTGGTGACACATTCCTGTGCCCATGCCCAGCAGTGGCCAGGATGTCAGCCAGCTGCACCAAGCAGTCACCCCTGCATGAGTTGGGGACACAGCACCTGCAGCCAGACCAGCGCCTGTCCCGCAGCCAGTCCGACGTGTTCAGCCCCAAAGCACCTGCCCAGCTGCAGCCGCTGGAGACTAATAGTGGGGCCAGGTCCAAGGAGATGTCCCCTCGTGTCAATCCCTTCTCCCAGCGAGAGGACCTGAAGGGGGGGAAGATCAAGCTCTTTGATACGCCGAGCAAGTCGGTCATCTCGCTCACCTTGGACCTGCCGCCCCCCACCCCGCTCGAGCTCAGCACCCCTGTGACGCCAGAGCCCGCCGTGGAGGTGCAGTGTGACTTCTCAACCCCCACCACCAGCCCCCGCAAGTGCCACTCTCTGCCCGCCTCTCCTGAGCTGCCCCACCATGGGGGCCTGGCGCTGGATGTGGTGACCCCCCCTCCCACTGACAACCCCCAGCCCTCCGCCCTCCTTTTTCCCCCACCTTGGGGACGAGCCTCCAGCCTCAGCTCCACGGCAAAGGAGCAGAGGGACTGCGGCCTCAACAACTCTGAGCTGCCGCAGCCCACCCTGCTGCCCCCCAACAGCAACTTCATCCACACGGCATCCTTGGGCACCCAGCCCTGGCAACCGGAGACACAATCCCCCAGCAGGCTCCTCATCAACAACAACCATGTGATGGTCAGCAAACCTCTGGCTTGGGGCAGCGGGCTGGAGCACGGCTCCTCCAAGCTTAGCATCACCTGTGGGGCGGCGCTGGAGCAAACAGAGCGCTCAGCCATGCTGCCTGGGCACAGCGCTGGTGCTGTGCCAGAGCAGGATGAGGTGCTGCCCTGCCCTGGCTGCTGCGTGAGTCCCTTCAGCTTCAACTTTGCCTCCTTCTGCCACCAGCCAGCTCCCAGCCCGCCCCGCTACCAGAACCTCAACTCCGAGACCAAGAGCCTCCTCTGCCACGACAGGGGCCAACACCAGAAAGCCCCGGCGCCAGTGCTGGCTGAGCCCAGGCTGAAGCTGCCGGAGGCACAGTCCTAGTGATGGGGATCCCGGGGAGTGGGGCTGCATCCAGCTGCCCTTCACACCCCTCTGCAGCCGCAGTACTGGGCAGTGCAGGAGCCTGGCACGTCCCCACGGTCTATCCTCGCTCAGTGCTTGATGACCAGCAGTGGCCATTGTGCCATGTGCTGTAGCTGCCACAGCGCTGCCACAGCGCTTGGGCACCCATCCCACCAGGGTCAGCCCTGGGGCTCTGCAGGAAGCCCTGGGGGTGGGCTGGGTCTCTTCTGGGGACTGAAGTGCAATAACACCCCTGACCCAAGCACTGCCCCAAGCGGCAGGGCTGGTCCCCCGCGGGGCCCCAGGGCTCAAGCCCTGGATCCAGGACCCCCTTTCCCCAAGGGCTCACCCCTCTGCCTGCTCTTGCAGAGGGGTGTACAGTGAGCCTGCTCCTCTGGGAGAACTGGGAGTCCCCTGCACCCCAGCAGGTGAGCGGGACTGGGTTGGGGTAGAGGTCAGCGTGTGTATGTGTGTATTTGGGGATCCTGTGGGACTGGTGGGTGTACCCCACAAGCATGGGGAGCACAGCCAGTCCCTGACATGGGGAGAGGTGGGCAGGGGGCCGGGAGAGGGGCAATGCCCATGGGCAGTGCATGGGGAGGATTGCCAACACTGGGGTTGTCCCTGCCGGCCCAATGCCAAGGGCTGGGTGCTGAGCCAGCACAATGCCTCACAACCCCCTGCCACACAGGTTTGGGGGCAGGGTGCTGGTAGAGGGGCCAGGTGCCATCCTGGCATCATGGGGATGGGGCCAGTGGGCAGCACGGCCAGGCTGCCAGGCCCCCGGCAAGGGTGGGAGCCGGCTTTCCTCCCTCCTGCATAATGCACTGGTGAATGCAGAACTCTTGTGTTTTTTATTATTATTAATAATTGCTAGTAATATATACCCAGCTTATTTAAAGTGTTCAATAAAAGTTAAATGTCCCAGCTACTCAGGCTGCTGCTTGTGTCTCCTGGATGCACATCAGATGTGGAAGGGGTCCCAGTCCCAAAAGATTGCACAGGCTTGCCTGGGGCTTCTGGGCAACTCCTCAGGGACTGCAGGCCAGCCTGGCTTAGCCCGAGATCTCAGTGCCCTTTATGTGCCTGTCTCGGTTAAAATGGCTTTGGTCAAATTCCCAGTTATTATTTAAATTCTTTGAGTTCATTCCCTTGAGTCCATGCTTTTGGTGGTACACAAGAAAGCAAAGAGCAGACAAACTATGTCTCTTTATTGCTACAAAGTGGGTTCAGCCGGCAGACAAGACAAAGGAGTGACACGAGCCACCTCCAAAAAGCTTGTCTTTAACACCCTTTTGCTCTTCAAGCAAGCTAATTAACATAGCAATTAATCAACTATATATGGCCCCATTGTAAACTGAGAGCATTTTCGTCTGATTGAACAGGACTTCCTCTGCTCTCACCTGGCTGCAGCATTACATCAGGGCTACTTTGCTTAATCTTCACATGCGCACGTGTGTAGTAACTATTTAAAGTCCTGATGAGTTGTCTCGGAAAGCATCGGTCTGCTGCAAGTGCCTGAGTTGCTTTTGCTTTGAAACACACAGTCACACCGAACAACCCTAAAGGTCACTGCTCTAATTTCTAATCAGTGCAAAAAAAATCCCCAAACGCCAGCGCAGGCGCCGGCCAGTTCGTGCTCAGCTTCGCTCCCTGGGCGCCGAGGCTTTGCCGAGCCTTTTGAGTGCGGGGTTGCCTGAAAGCTGTAGCCAAGCTGCTCCTTCGATGGGGTGCGGTAGCAAATGCCTGTTGCGGGGAGGGGACTGGCTGGGGGTGGGGCTGTGGCGCCCCTGACTCCCGCTCCTTGCATGCCAGCTCCGCACCTCGCTCCGCTCTGGGGATGTGGCATGGCTGCAGCGTGGAGTATCAGGGCTTGCTCCACTGTGTCCCGGTCCAGGCTCCCCATCTCCCGCCAGACCCTGTGCCAGGAAGACCCAGGGTGTCTGTCCCATGCAGGTGTGGGGCTGGGCTGTGGTGCCCACACTGCTCTGCTGAAGCACATCAGCTGGGGGGCAAACAGCCACTGCTGCCTGCGTGATGCCCAAGCATCACTGGGCATCCCTGAGAAGGACCTGGGCAGCCGGGGGGGCAGTGGTCTGTAGGGGAAAGTAGTTTGCCTGAACAGATGGAACATTCCGGGCAGAAACGTAGCAAGGCTGGAGCAGAGGTGGTGCAGGGTGCAGGTGCTGCAAGGGAAGGCAGAGGAGGGTGAGGGTGAGATGTCACCCAGCCTCCAAGACATGCAACAGGGCTGGAAAGGCATCTTGAAAAGGGTTGTCCCCCATCTTGCCCCTTTGCTGAGCCACAGCTTCAGGAGTCCTCTTGAACTACCACAGACCAGGACATCCCACGGCAGAGAGGGGATGGAGGCAGGCTCCAGGGGGCAGGGTCGACATGCCCCAGGCAGTGACACAGGCTCCCTGCTTTCCTCCATGCATACCCCACGGGCCCCACGCACCCCAGGCTCGGCAGAACCTGGCGTGGGCACACTCACCACAGCAATACTGGGGCCAGAAGCCATCATCATTTGAAAGGGGAGCTTGGCCCCGCTGCCTTCTCACAGATCCAGAGGTGCAGGTCTTTGGGGCCGGTGCACTGGGCAGGTTTGATGTTTCCACGGCTTATTATGGCACAGGACCCATTTGACTTTGACTGCCATGGCCTGGATGGGGAAGCAACACACATCAGGGGCTGACACCTTCTGCCCACAACCCCTGCTGTGACAACTGCCTCTTGTAGCTCGAGCAGGAGGGGTTGGATGCTACAGTCAGATGGGGGATCCCCCAGTCCTCCCCTAATGATTTCACAGGCTGAAGGCTCAGCTGACAGGTCCCTGCCCTTCCTCAGGCAGGCTAAGAAATGCCTCTACAAAGGGTTTGCAGGGCTTGTGACTCCCCTTAGGCTCCCTCCTGCTTGACTTGGCCTCACTGCTGGACATTTTTTCATCCCTGCGGTGGGGAGAGCCCAGTCCTCCCTGAGGGCACTTGGACAGTTGGAGGAGCTGCCCTGGGCTGTGGGTCTACCTTGGGTGCAGTCCCCCATTCGGGGGGTGAGGGTTGAAGGTGAAGGAGCAGGCAGTGAGCAGGGGCTGGGTACCCAGCACCTGGCCAGACGGGTCTGTTCCTCCCCACTGCTCTCAGACACTGCAAGAGGAAGCAGCAGCAAGCTGAGAAGTGGGTGCACGTGGAGGGGAGGAGCACTCTCTGTGGGCGGGAAGGCTTGATTTCCCCTCTCAGAGGAATCAAGGAGGCACGTAGGGGATAGAAGCAGTGCTCAAACACCTTGTCTAGACCCCAAATAAAACTTGCGGTTTCTTTTGTCCACTTTTGCCACCGCCTGCTTCATATGCCCTGCGTGTACACCCCCAAGTCTTCACTTTGCATCTTCATGTCCTGTAAGCATCTCACCACACCATTGCACCCACCTTCCCTCAGCCCCAGCTGCTCTGATGCTCTTTGTTTCCCAGTGCCTGTGCCCAGAACTGGGTATTAATGGGATTTAAAACACTTCCTAATGTTGTGCTGGGGTTGGGGGATTTTGGCAAGAGGCTGTGCTGCCAGGTACCTTTCATAAAGGGAGCCATCCACCCAGAACCAGGCATCGGAGAGCCCCTCGCCATCCGGGTCCTCTTCCTCCAGCCAGCCATAGTCATACCAGGGGAAGCCGCTCTTCTGCAGTCCTATCCAATATGGGACATCTGCATTCTTCAGGAAGGTCTGGGGAAGAAGAAAAAGGGCCTTATCACATTTTTTCTGTGGTACCTATGTACTGCAGTGTTTGCAGGGAGTGATCATCTCCCCGAGGAGACCCTGGGGCTGGAGCTTCTTGGGGCAAGACAGCTGAGCAGCCCGGGTGCCCTGCTCCAGCTTGGGCAGCATCCAGGGGGGGCAGAGCCTGTGCTCCATGTCCATCACCAGCCATGTGCTCCAGAGATCAGCCTTGCACCCTCCACTGTTTTGGCAGAGCAGCGGCCTCCAGAACAGTGCTAGCCCATCTGGTGACCCCAGGTCTGGATACACCAGCTCCTGCCCTCAGCTCCCCCAGCACCCTACCGGCACAGTCCAGCGAGTCCAGGATTTGGTGATCAGGAGCTGAGAATCTGTTCTCTCACACTCATCTCTGCTGTCCTCCCATGTCTTCTTTTCCGAGGAGATGAAGAGGCACTTGCCCCTATACAGCAGCCAGCCGGAGGGGCAGCAATCTGCAGGCAGGGGCACAGCTCAGATGCTTGATCAGCCACAGATGCCCGGGGGGGGACCAGGAACAACCCCACATCTTCCCAGCAGATATCACAGGCTCAGCCTCTGCTCCAGGCATAGTTTCAGCCTCGGACCACCCTGCCCCCACCATGTGACCAAAAAAAGCCAGTGCTCGTGCCTTGGCACTGCACCTGCTGAGGGATGCCAGTCACCCAGGACACCCCATCCCTGCTCCATCATCGCCCTACCTATAGCTGTGCAGGAGCGCAGGACAGCCACGGTGCTCTCGCTGTTGTTGAGCTTCCCCTGCACCTCCTGCATCGCCTTCTCCGTCTTGCCCAGGACCCCCCTGACGTGCCCCAGCTCGGCGCTCATTCTATCCAGCTCCAGCTGGCTGATGTTGCCCTCATGCCACGCTCGCTCCAGCTCCGCTCTGGCCCACGCCAGCTCCACCCGTGCCTGCTCCAGGCTCTGCTCCTGAGTGCTCAGCTCCTGTGACAGGCGGCCCTGCTCGGCCGCGTGGTCGCGGGAGGCATCCTGCAGGCTGCGGGTGACCTGCCAGTCTGGGGACAGAAGGGGTGATCTGAGACACGGGCATGGGACAGCCTGGGCGTGGGACTGACCCCGTTTGGGGCAGGTAGGATGGGCAGGGCAAGGCAGGGTGTTGTCCATGCTGAATGGGAAAGGATGGGAAGGAAGGACACAGCAGCAAAGTGTATGGTTAAGGGCTGGGCAGGACCTGGGAGGGGACAGCAGGGCAGGGGCAGGATGGGGTGTGGGACCAGATACAGCAGGGCAGGGGCAGGCAGGGTGCAGAAATATGAGGCTGGGCATTGCCAGGATGGGAAGAAAAAGGAGCAGAAACAGAGGGCAAGGTGGGGAAGGCGGGTGATGGGAGGCTGGGGGGATGCCTATGATGTGAGAGGGATACAGGACAGCTTGTGGCAGACAGGGAAGAGGGACTCAGCCAGGAGCAGCGTGCATGGGCATGCCCTTCTTCACTCCATGCTTAACCACGGCACCTACCCCAGCCCAGCTGCCTCCCTGCCCCAGCCACCCCCAGCCCCACATATGCCCAGACCCCTGACTCACAGCAAGCCCCCAGGGCCACAGTGGCCACCAGCAGCAGGCAGATTGCCAGCAGCCCCACTGGGATGCACCACCGCCGGGACCCGTGACCTGCAAGACACAATAGACAACAGACATCACCTGGAGAGCTGGAAAACCCCTGGCAAGCCCCAGGCCTACTGCCTGCAGGCAGTGCTGTGGTGGCATGATGGCACAGGTGGCATGGTGTGGGCACTTCCTCTCTTAAAGGATGGGAGTGGGAGCACCCCAAAACACCACCCACTACCTATGCCAGGACCTCCCTTGGTGCCCTGGATTCCAGCTGGGTACTCACCTGGGTTGGGCTGGGCCCCATCCCCGTCCTGCCCTGCCGGCACTGGCTGCGTGTTCTCGTGGGGGCTCTCTGCCTCATCCATGCCAAGGGCTGTTGGAGAAAGACAGGGGAGAGAGGCTGAGTCCGTGGGGTTGGGGATGGCAGGGGCAGAGTGGCAGGGTCTGTGGGCTCTCACCTGCCTCCAGTGCCTGGCTGGCCATGCTCCGGCCCCCCATCACTTTGGCAAACCTCAGGTCAGCATAAACCATGCTCTGGGCCATGTAGGCAAGTGCTGGGCAAGCCCTGAGCTGTTCAGGCTCCCGCTCTGCCCTTGGAGTGCCTTTCTGGGATGGTCCTGCTCCTGGTGATTGCACCGTGTCTCGGAGGTGCAAAGGAGAAGTGCAGCCAGCATCTGCAGAAGCAGAAGTTTGCTCTGCGTTGTAGCAGATGGGACCAGTGAAGCACAGCCACAGGTATCAGCACCCTCTCATTGGTCCCAGAAATACCAGCCCCTCCCCTCCCACGCTCCAGAAGTGCTTGTGGTCCCCCTGGGCACAGAGCAGGGCCAGAGCAGCACAGCCTGAGGTCACGGCTGTGGCAGAGCAAGCACCCAAATCCTTGGGTCAGGGGAGAGCAGGGAAATCCTCAACACAGGAGGACATTGCCCTGTGGACAGCTCTGTGGAGGGCTGGAGGTCTTCACAGATTCAGATTTTCTCTCCCAGCCTCTGAGAATGGGAATTTCCCCACTACGTAGCGTGTGCCACTGCCTCTCATCTTCTCCCTATTCCCCTCCTAGAAGAAGTAAGCTTTGGCATTGCTGCAAACCTCTGCCAGACAGTTGCATAGAGCAATGACATCCACTTTGCCTTCCCTGCCTAAGACCACAACCCCAGCACTCACCTTCTTGGTCCCTCTAGCCTCTCAGCATCTCAGAGATCTCTACTGAACTTCATCCAGAGGAAGATAGATTTCAAAATGGACACTGAGTTGGGGGCCAGTTGGGCACATCTGGATGCAGCCAGTCCCTGGAACAGGACTGGAGATGCACAGTGGTGCTGTTGGAGCACAGCGCTACAAGGCTGTAGTGGGTTGGTTTTGTGGATATTTTAGGCCTTCCTTAGCAACAGGGTCAGAAATCTAAGGAAGTATTCCATATCATCCCTTTCTGTAACACAACATAAAAAGGCGCAGATAAGAGAGTTGGCTCTCTTCTCTCTTCTGGTGGCCGAAGGCGACAGGTCTCTCCGTAGACAGGCTTTACTTGTATAGGCCAGGGCCTGCTGCTCAGACCTGCCATTATCTCCATTCCATTTGGGAGGTGTGGGGAGTTAGTTCTGCTGTCTCGTTCAGGGAAGTATTTAATTTGGTTTTGTATTTATTCGCTAGCTCTCTATTAACGGGTATATTTGGAGGATATTTGTTTTTAGTTTTTTTCATCCCTGTTTCCCCCTCCCTTTTCTCTTTTTCCCCCTCAGGAGCTCCCTATTGTGTATAATAAATTCAAATTGTATATATAATATATATATATAATATACGTAATATATATATATTTGATATAATCCCATTTCGTTCAGACTTCTTTCAGTTTTCTTTTCTGTGGTTTTTTTTTTTTTCCTTCCTTGGGGAGAGCAGGAAAGGGGAGGAGACAGCTTGGACTTGGCGGGAGAGCCAGGCCAAACTGATAAAAAGGCCACTGCCCATCACCTCTGCAAGAGCAAGGGAAGCCCTTCATCAGTGGAGAAAGGCAAAAATCACAGCCAGCTTCAAAGGGGACAGGAAGGAGGTTTGGAAAGCTAAGGGTTGGACAGCCTCCACTCAGTCTCCTGGAAGAAAATGGAGCATATCCTCTTGGGCATGTGGGTGCCCAGGCCCAGGGAGGACATGCTGGGGAAAGGCCAGTGGGATGTATCGGGTGACTGCCCGATAATCCTGCTACTGCTTGGGAGCACCGGGCTGGGTACAACGGAAGAGTAATGAGATGATTTATCATGACCCTTCAAGGTCTGAGACATGATTTTCCATGGTGTCCTCGCTGGCAGCGTGGGGGCATGTGACCATGACGAGAGGAGAAGTGAAAGCTCATGCTGCAACATGGAAATCCCTTTTAGGCATTAGGGCAAACATTTCTGCACAGCAGCGATGCTCCAATTTTGGAGCAGAGCACAAAGAAGAGGGAAACTCCATCCTCGATGGGGTCAGCACCAAAGCCACCTCGTCCCCCCTGTAAGCCAGCCCTGCTCTCCCCTGCCCTAGGGAACTAAGTCAATTCTCCATAGGCGAGGCCTGCAGCTCTGCCCAGTGCCCCAGCCCCGAGCTGCACTGCCCCCCCCACGGTCATCCCAGGGGACCCTTAGCAGATTCGGGGGGTGGAATGAAACAGGATGGTGTTGCTGGGCCAATGGCAGGGCGCCGGTGCCGTGGCTGTACTTTCCCATCTGCCACACCTCCACACACTTCTGCTTCTGCAGAAACTGGCTGTACTTTTTCTCCTCAGCAGAAGCAGCGCCCTCGGGGCCGTCGGGGCGGCCTGGGCATGGCGCAGAACGTGGTCTATGCCGACCTGAAGTTTGCTGAGGGGTCTCCATCCACCATCCCCGATGAAGACGACAGCCCCTATGAAAACGTGCTGCCAGGGCCAGTGACAGCAGCGCCCAGCCCAGGTGGGAACCCGGACACAGCCACTACCGCGGGGATGCCCTGGTGTGGGGTGGGCACCGGGTGATGGCAGGGATGATGCCCGTGGGTGCTTGTCTTTTGCAGAGCCCTCGCCCCGGCGATGGCACACCCCCAAAGTGCTGCTGCCAGCCAGCCTGGTCCTGCTCCTGCTGCTGCTGGTGGCCATCGTGGCCCTGGGGGCTTGCTGTGAGTCAGGGGGATGGCCAAGGGGTGGGGGGCACTGAGGGGGTGTTGAGCTGGGCCGGGGACGAGCTGCAGGGGGTTTGTCAGGGATGAGGGGTGCCTGAGGCTGGGGGGCTGGTTGCTGCCTCTTTCATGGCTACATGACCTGCCTCCCACTACCTTCCAACTCCCTCCTACTCCCTCCCATTGCTTCCCACTGCCTCCCATTGTCTTGCCCTTGCCTTACCACTACCTCCCAATCCCTCCCACTGCCTCCCACTCCCTGTTTCTGCTTCCCATTTCCTCCCACTGTCTTCCCATTGCCTTCCTACTGCCTTCCCACTGCCTCCCATTGCATTACCACTGCCTCCCACTGCCTTCCCATTGTCTCTCACTCGCTCCCCTTGCCGCCTTATTGCCTCCCACAGCCTCTCACTGCCTTCACACTTCCTCCTACTCCCTCCCACTGCCTCCCACTCCCTCTCACTGCCTTCCTATTGCCTTCCCACCACTTCCTATTGTCTGTCCAATGCCTTCCACTACCTCCCACTAGCCTTCTCATTGCCTCCTCTTGCCTTCCCACTGTCTCCCACTACCTTCTACTGCCTGCCATTTTCCCCCCTCCACCTGCCACCATTGGGGCTTCCTTTCCCTTCTCACTGAAACCCCCAGGACAATCTCTACCCACAGCAAGGCACTCCTATCCCTTGCAAGTTCCATGCCCCGGCTGTCCAATGCCCTGGCTGTCCCATGCCTGTGTCTCAGCTCACTGCCCTGTCCCCAGACTGGCAGGTCACCCGCAGCCTGCAGGACACCTCCAGCAGCTATGCAGCTGAGCAGGATCGCCTGTCACAGGAGCTGAGCACTCGGGAGCAGAGCCTGGGGCAGGCACGGGTGGAGCTGGCATGGGCCAGAGCGGAGCTGGAGCGAGCGTGGCATGAGGGCAACATCAGCCAGCGGGAGCTGGAGAGCCTGAATACCGAGCTGGGACACGTCGTGGAGGTCCTGGGCAAGACAGAGAAGGAGATGCAGGAAGTGCAGGAGAAGCTCAACAGCAGCGAGAGCACTGTGAGCAGCCTGCGTGCCTGCGTGAATACAGGTAGAGTTGTGATGGGGCTGGAGCACAGGTAGTGTTGCTCTTGGGCAGACGCAGGGGTTGATCTCGGCCGGGCTGGGCCCCCCGAGCATCCGTGGGAGGATAAGTGTCTGACCTGTGTCCCTGTCCCCAGACTGCTGCCCCTCGGGCTGGGTACTCTACAGGAGCAAGTGTCTCTTCATCTCTGTGCAGAAGAAGACCTGGCAGAGCAGCAGGGATGACTGCAGAGCGAAATCCGCTGAACTGCTGGTCCAAGATAGCTTGCTATCATTGACAGTACCGGTACGGAGCAGGGGTATTGTGGTACCTTAGGAGGGTGGGACTGGGCAGAGTCCCGGCGGGGCAGCAGCAGTAGTATCTGTGGAGGTGCTGGGGTAGCACCATGAGCCCCAGGTTTCCATCCCAGAAGTCTGGGAGGAGGAGCACAGTTGACCCTGGTGCTCCTGAGCACCAGGCAAGTGCTACTCATGAAGCAGGTGGTTGACAGCTTCTTTTCTTCCAGCATTTTGTGCAGGAGTCTACTGAAAAGTACTGGATTGGACCAAACATTTATTATGACACAAGGGCGGCTTCTAAATCGCAGGGCAGCAGTCAAACCTGGTAAGTATGAGAGTGCTGGGCACAAGCACCTGCCCTTTTCCCATGCCAGAAAGGTGCTGGTTTGACCCTGTTGCTTCCCCCAGCAAAGGGGGTGAGGGTCCCCCAAGGGAAGGGGGTCAGGGCAGAGCTCAGCTGTGGAGTGTACTGCCAGATTTCCAAGTGGCAGAGCAGAAAACTGGGAGGAGGAATACAACCCTTCCTCAGACTGGTCCCAGTGCCAGGCACCCTGCCTGCCCCAGCAGCACTGAGACCTATGGGAAGTGGTGTCCATAGCAAGGATGTTGTCACTGCTACTCTGAGATGTGCCCTCTTTCCTAGGAGCAGGCTCTGCAGGGCAATAGATAATGGGGAAATCAGCTATCCAAAATGCTGGAGTTTCTTTCAGTGGATCTGCGAGAAATCCCCGAAGTTGAGCAGCACATCTGAGACCTAACCTCATCTCCTGGCCAAGGTCTGACTGCTGGCACTCTACTCCATCTCTGGACTTGGGGGCAGGAGCTGGGGGTGCACCCCAAGACTCTGTCCCCTGTGCACGCATTGCCTCAACTGCGTTACGAAGCACTGGGAAAGAGGGTCTGTATTTTAAAGGCTAGAAAAGAGACCTTATTTCGCTCTCTCACACTCATGCATACACTTATCACACCACCTTGCACTGTGTCTCTGTGTGTTCCTGTGTGCCCTGGCCAGCACACCCCGCAGTGACCCATGTCTCCAGTGCAAAGCCCAGCTCCCACCTTCTGTGCTCCCTCAAGGCTGCCAGGGGAGAACTGTGCAGGATCTGCCATTTGCATTTTCTTGGAGCTGGGGGATGACACATTGGTGTCCCTCAACCTGTCCATTTTGGGGACAGGATTTACAGCCTGTCCCTTCTCTTGGCATTAATAGCTCTCATCCTGCCCTTTTTCCTGCCTCCGTCACCTGCCCAGGGCTTTGGGCTGGGTCTTGCCTGGGAAGAGTGCAGGCAGTGGTGCCATCAGCATGAGTAAATGCTGGGAAGCCCTGAGACCATATGGGAGACGGAGAAGCTCTGGGGAGCCTTGAGAACATTGAAGTTGAATAAGGAAACCCTGAAACCATGGGAGAAAAGAGGTGCAATGAAGAGCCCTGAGACCATGGGGATGAATGCAGTAACCCTGAGACCATGGGAGGAAATGGAGGTTCAGTGAAGATGCCCGAGATCATGGAAGGCAAATGAGAGAGGCCCTGAGAAAATGGGGTTGCAGCTATGAGCCTTAAGACAGTGGAAGAGAGAGGGAAGTACTGAAGAGACTTGGGAACACTAGAAAAAGGGGACCCTGGCACCATGGGGGGAAGGTCCCTAAGACCATGGTGGAACCTGAGCTGCCAAGCAGGGTGATAAGAGAGCCCTGTCCAGGACCCAGGAGGGGTGGGGAGGGGGAGTCCAGGTGCAGCACTGACCCTCCTGACTCAGTGTTTCTGCAGAGAGTACGAGATGTTGGGAACCATTTTGCTAAGCTGGGTTTGAGACAGCCAGCATGGTTTCATCAAGGTAAAGTCCTGCCTAACCAACCTAGTGGCCTTCTACAATGGAGTGATTGTATCAGTGAACAAGGGAAGGGCTACAAATGTCTTCTGTCTTCTGTAAAGCTTTTGACACAGTCCCCCTCTAAATTGGAGAGAAATGGATTCAGTGGGTGGACTGCTTGGTGGATAAGGAATTGGCAGGACAGTGTCGCATCCAGAAGATAGTGGTCAATGGCTCTGTGTCCTGATGTGGACATTGGTGACCAGCGGTGTCCCTTGGGGATCCATATTGGCACCAGTGCTACTTAATGCTTTCATCAACGATGTGAACAGGGGGATCTAGTGCACCCTCAGCAAGCTTGCAGATGATACCCAGCTGAGAGCTGTGGTTGATACACCTGAGGCACCCGATGCCATCCAGAGGTACCTGGACAAGCTCAAGAAGTAGGCCCATGGGAACATCATGAGGTTTAACAAGACCAAGTGCAGGGTGCTGCACTTGGGTCAGGGCAACCCCCGGTACCAACACAGGCTGGGGGATGAACAGATCAAGAGCAGCCCTGCTGAGAAGGACTTGGGGGTTCTGGTGGGTGAGAGGCTGGACATGACCCAGCCATGTGCACTCACAGCCCAGAAACCAATCCTGTCTTGGGCTGCATCCAAAGCAGGGTGGGCAGCAGGTGAGGGAGGGGATTCTGCCCCTCTGCTCTGCTCGGGTGAGACCCCACCTGGAGCACTGCATCCAGCTCTGGGGTTCCCAGCACAGGAAGGACATGGACCTGTTGGAGCAAGTCCAGAGGATAGACACCTGTCCCAAGCCCAGCACTCTCTTGGTGCCCAGGAACCTCAGGGCAGGTAGGGGAAGTGAGCAGGGGCCTCATCAAACTTCAAATCAGCATAGACCACACTCTGGGCCATGCAGGCAGCTGGGCAGCAGCAGTCTAGGAAGCCAGTCCTGTTCTGCTCCTCTGTGGTCATATAGCAGACTGTGGCTAAGACCATGTGGGATGGAGACACTTCTTCATATGCAGAAAAGCAGAAGCAGTTGCTTTATTTGTGAAATGTGGTTTTATTTCTGAGGATGCTCTGGCTTTAGGGGGTGGGGGGTGAATGAGCTCCACCCTGGGCTGCATGCTCTGCATCTGTGCCCCAGGTTGTGAGGAGCCCAAGCTCCTGTGTACTGGCCACAGCAGGGCTACACTGCCCCATGCATCACCTTTTCCCTTCCAGCCCCTGCTCAGGACACAGGATGCACTGATTATATTGGTCCTCTGAATATGCCAGGGAGAATCCCAGGGATGTTCGTGCCAGAGCTCCAGGCTGCTGGAACAACCCAGGAGGTCTATACTGAAACTTTAACAGCCGCCAGAACCACACACCTTCAACTCAAGCCCCACCAGACCTTTCAGGCTCTCACACATCACCCAGACTCAAAGAAAAGGGAGGGCACTTGCAGAAACCTCCTCAGACTGGGCAGGCACCAGCAGATAAGCTGCTGCCCAACCCAAGTCCTCCATGGGATGAGGAAACAAAGTCACCTCTCAGCTGTGTGTCCCAAGAAGCATAAACACCAGGCAGCCACTACAATCAGAAAGCTTTCAGGAGACCTGCTCCAGCCTGCATAAGAGCTGCCTCACACTGCCATCAGGCCATGAGGATGCTTGGATTCAGCTGCTGGCTGAATGCTGGCTCCTGGAACGGTGCAGCAGATGCAATTTCCCACTTTTCATTGATGCAACCGAGTCAGTGAGCTGGAGGATGCACCTCCATCACACCCCTGTCATGCCCCAAAGCCAGACACAGTTTTTGGCAGAGTTTATTGGCAAAATGCAGTTACAGGGAAGTAAAGAGGTCTGAGCCAGGAGGCAGCAGTCAGTGCCTGCAAATGCCCATGAACTGGAGTGAGGCAGGGAACATGGTGGTGGGACAGGCTGGAGGTTCCCACAGGCATCAGGGCCTCACACAGTTGTAGGTGGTGTTTCCCCAGATGAAGGAAGGAGGTGAGGACTGGAGCCACTGCAGGGTGGCTGCACTCTGCTTGCAGACCCATCCAAGGGGTTCCGAGCACACACCACCCGACAGCCCCAGGCCCGACAGCCTGCCACAGGCCTGGTAAGACCTGGTGTAGCGATGGATTAGGAAGATCCTGCAGGGAGAGAGGGCGCTGAGACGGGATGGGCAGAAGAACTGAGATTGTCCCATCAGTAACTCCTTCAGCCAGGGACCAGAGATGGCACAGGGATGCTGTGGGGCAAAGCTCACCCCCCCCCATGGAGCACAGTCTCCTGCCTCCTCCCAATTAAGCCACATGTTCTGATGCCCCCAGCCCCATCAGGCACACGGGACTCCCAGGCCCCTCCTGGCAGGGCTCAGCACCAACTGCACCAACCAGAATCTGGGAACCTGCTTTTGGGGGAACCCTCCAGTTCCTCACCCAGGCAGAGTATGGGCACCAGGGTCAGGCCTCTCTTCCCTATCTTCTCTTCCCTAAAATGCCCCAGTACAGTCCTGGGGAGACAGGAGGTGGCCAAAATATGGAGCACATCCCTCCATGCCAGTGTCCCCTTGTCACCTCCCTGACCCCTGCTGCTGGACCCTCAGCAGCCCTGGCTGGGGACAAGCTGACAGCCTTACCCCTTCAATGTGGTGCCATCCAGCCACTTCCAGTCAGACGCAAAGCCATCTTTCTTCAGCCCCACATGGAAGACCTCCGTGTTGGTGGTGCGCATCAGGAAAGCCTAGTACAGGAGAGGATCCACATGAGCTCCCTGCGGGGACACACAGCCCCACCCACGCTTAGTGATGGGGGCTGTGCAGCATGGGCACAGCATTGCCAACTCCCTGCCTGGAGGCTTAGCTGGGATTTGGGCACACGGGCCAGAGCCAAGGAGCTGAGACAATGCTGCTGATGGGTGGGTGGCTGCTGAGGGACCTTGAGGTGGTCACCAACATAGCCCAATGCTTGCAGGGAGTGGGACAGGGCAGACTGGGTGCACTCACCAGGGTAGTGTTGTCTTGGATGGTGACCAGCTGTGCCCCTCTGGAGCAGCAGTCCTCTCTGCTTTTCTCCCAGGTTTTTTTGGCAGATGAGAAGTAGTAGCACTGTCCTGCATCCCAGAGCCAGCCGACCGGGCAAAACTGGCATTGCGCTGCACACCAGAAACACAGCAGCTGGGACTGGGCAACTGGTAGGGGCTGCCACCAGCCCCCAGCCCAAGGGGCAGGAGAGTGACAATGGGCAGTCACTGGGTACCAACCCACCCACTGTGCTCCTAGGGCTGCCCCACAGAGACCACCCTCCACTTGCCGTTATTCAGGAGCTCAGCTCCCATCTTCCAGCCCCAGCTCCCCAGAGGGAGGCCCTTATGAGAAGGAGCTCCCTGGGGAGAAGGAGTTACAGGAAGGTGCTGGCATTGGGCCAGGAGGGGAGCTCCAGTTTTGCAGAAGCAATACAAACACAATTTCCCAAGTGCTGGAAACTCAGTCAAGATTTCAGTTGGACCAGAGATGGTCAAAGAGAGCACCTGATGCCATCTGGAACACGGATGCTGGTGGCATCCATGAGCCTCGTGCTGGTGGCATGTCCAGGCAACGCTGAACCATGCTGGGGTCATCTCTTCCAAAGGTCTCAACATTCAGCTTGTTCAGCAGTGCTGGGGCAGCTTTCTATGCCATGAGCCAGGGGACAGGTAGCAAGGGCGAAGGAATATTTGGGGTGGGGAGAATGTCCTGGAGCATGGACAGATCCTGCTGCTTGAAAGGAGCAGTCAGGCCCTCTCCAAACCTTGTCCAGAAGCTCACCAGGCTCTCTCACCTCGCAGTGTCTGTTGCCCATAGCTGGGGCTCTCCTCCATGCTCCAGAGATCGTGGGTGCAGCTCACCTGTTGTTGTACTAAATCTACAGAAGAAGAGCACAGGGGTGTCCCAGCAACTCTGGGCTCCTGCTCCCAGCAGCACATGGTGTCCTCTCCCACAGGGTGGCCCCACAGCTGTGGGTGAGGGCATCTCCTACTTTGGGTACGCCAAGCCAGCCAAGGGCCTTGTGGCTTTTGCTGTGCTTGGGAGCCCAACACAACACAGACTTTCGGGGAAAGTGCTGCTGCCTTTCAGTTTCAGTGTCACCGCTCTCCTTCCTGCTTTCTTTTCAATGCCATGTGATGGCCTTCCCCAAGCCCACGCTGTCCCACCAACTTTTTTTTCCAGCCAAGTAGGCGATGTCTTGCCTAAACAATCTTCTTGCTTGCCCTGGAACCCTCAACCCACTCAGCCCCAAGCAGGAGAGCCCAGCTCCTTGGGGAAGCTGCAGCTCTGTCTGTTGGTACGAAGCCCTGTGGTGCCAGCCCCAACTGCAAGATCCAAGACATAGAGATCCAGGCACAGGCAGATAGGTACTCACAGTGGAAGCTCAAGCTGACAAGGATGATTTGTGCCAGCAGAAGCACCAGGGAGAGGAGACCCAGGCTGAGGGCTGCCCAGCACCAGGGCAGGCGCACCGGCTGCTGAGGACCTGAGAAAAGGATTTAATTTAACCTAGACCCTGGGGGGCTTGGTGGGAGCAGTGGGTAACTTCCAGCCAGAAAAGGTCTGTGAATCCCAGGCAGGATGTCAGAAGGCAGGAGGGTAGCCAAGGAAAAGTGGGGGAGAGCCCATTTGCAGCAGCTTGACCCCCCTAGAAGTTGTTTCCCTGCAGCAGCACTTTACATGGGACAGGGAGAGCAGAGTAGGGACTGCCTGTGTGTGCTGTGGCATTGGGGTACAGTGGGCATCCCCTGCCCTTGAGCCTCTCCTGCCCCCCACCCTGAGAGCAGACAGTCTGCAAGGAGGCTGGAGAGGAGTTGTTTGGAAGAGGACGCACAGAAATTGGGGGGAGCAGGTCTGGGAGGCCAAGGGTCTGCAGGAGGGCAGGGAATCCGCTGAGAGAGCTGGGGTGCCAGGGACAGGGAGCACCATGCCATTACCTGGTGTTGGGGGAAAGCGCAGATCAGCGTATGTGACCCTCTCTTCCATCCCTTCTTTGATCCCTTGCTCTGCACCCCACGGGGACACTGGTAACCCTCTCCCAGACACTTTGTCAGACGGGTGTGATGCAAAATGGAAAGTGTCACTTCCTGGTGGGGTCCCCAGAGGCACCACCTGGGACACAACCCAGGGGCATCATGGTGTTGACAGACACTTGGGGCAAGGGGGAGCCCTGTCGGGGCCAGAAGCTGGGCGTTCCGGCATGAGGAAACCCTGTCATGGGGATGGCTGCTAACTCAGACACAGGTCCAGGGCTGAGCTGGACAGCCATGTCATGGAGTCATAGAATGATTTGGGTTGTAAAGGACCTTAAAGATCATCTTGTTCCAACCTCCCCTGCCATGGGCAGAGAAACCTTCCAGTAGACCAGGTTGCTCAGAGCCCCATCCAGCCTGGCCTTGAACATTTCCAGGGATGGGGCATTCACAGCTTCTCTGGGCAACCTGTACCAGTGCCTCACCACCCTCGTAGTAAAGAAATTCTTTCTAAAAGAGGGTAAGCCATACAGGGAGCAGCTGAGGTTACTTGGTTTATTCAGCCTGGTGGAGACTGAGGGGAGACCTCATCTCAGTCTACAGCTTCCTCATGAGGGGCAGCGGAAGGGCAGGCATCAATCTCTTCTCTGTGATGACCAGGACAGGACCCAAGGGAATGGCACGAAGCCGTGTCAGGAGAGGTCTAAGTTGGATATTAGGAACAGACTGTTCACCCAGAGGGTGGTTGGACACAGAAACAGGCTCCCCAGGGAAGCGCTCACAGCACCAAGCACGACAGAGTTCAAGACGTGTTTGGACAATACTCTCAGGCACATGGTGTGACTCTTGGGGTATCCTGTGCAAGGCCAGGAGTTGGAATTTGATGATCCCAGTGGGTTCCTTCCAGTTCAGGATATTCTATGATTAGAATCTGATCTAAACCTGCCCTCTGTCAGTTTGAAGCCATTCCCCCTTGTCCTATCACTACATACCCTTACAAAATGTCCCTCTCCAGCTCTCTTGTAGTCCTCTAGGTACTGGAAAGGTGCTATAAGGTCTCCCGGGAGCCTTCTCTTCTCAAAACTCAACAACCCCGACTCTCTTAGTCTGATCTGCCTTGCGGTGCAGGACGTGTTGCCACGCGCCTCTCTCCAAGCAGCAAGGCCACGGGGTATTTGCTTACAAGTGGTTTCTGCTGCCCTTTCTTTTGCATGGGGCTGCAACTGCATCTCAGCCCTGGAAAACGGGGGGCTGGGGTGCTGGGGTGCTCCTTCCCCTCCCCCAAGCCTTCAGGGCTGCCGCGATGACCATCCCTGCCGTGCCCTCCGAGCCCCCCCAGGCCCCCGGGGACAGACAGCGTCCCCCGCTCCGGGCTGCCTGCTTACGCTGGTGGAAGGATGGCTCATCCGGACTACGTTTCCCAGCGGCTCCTCCCGGGGCTGCACATGCTCGATGCGGCTCCCGGCGACTCCCGGCAGCTCCCGGCGCGGCGCCCGGTGCGGCGCAGGGGCGGTCGGTGCGGCTGCGGGTGAGACCGGCGGCGATCCCGGGCGCGGCTCCCGGGGCGACTCCCGGCGGTTCCCCGTGCAGCTCCCCGGGGAGGCTCCCGGTTTGGCTCCCGACGGCTCCCGGTGCCGCCCCCGGCGGGGCATCCTCCCGGTGCGCCCTCGGGAGCGCACGGCCGAGCCCCGGGGCTGATCCCGGCCCGGGGCCGAGCGTTCCCCCGGCGCCCCCCGCCGCCCCAGCAGGATGCCCCGGGGGCGAGCCTGGACGCAGGCGGAGGTCAGCAGCCTCCTGTCGCTGGTGGGGGGCTCGGGGGAGGCCGCCCTGCTCATGGCCTCCACGTCGCGACCCAACGAGGCGCTGTGGCGGGCGATCTCCCGGGGGTTGGCGGCGGCCGGCTACGGGCGCAGCGTGGCCCAGTGCCGCTCCAAGTGGAAGGCGCTCAAGCAGGCTTTCCACTCGGAGCGGGAGACGCGCCGGAGGGCAGGACACCATTCGCCCCGGCTGCCTCCGCACTACCGGGCCATGAAAAGTATATGGAAGGCAGCCGGGCGGCCCGTCTTTGGCGAGCGGAGGATGCCAGGTGGGTGCCAGGGACGGGCATGTGGGCTTAGCAGGGTGGCTAGATGTGGGTTGCTTGGGGAGTGCTGATGCTGCACGGACACCCAGAGTGTGTTGATGGTCTTTCTCTTCCTCTAGACCTGGTGAAACTGCCCTCCAGGAAGCGCAGGTCAGCCCTTGCCACTCGGTCTTCATCCTCGCCAGAGCCACCAGGTACCTGTGGGCTCAGACAGCCAGAATGGGGCTTGTCCTGGCTGTGGGGTGGCAGACACCCCTCATCACCCAGTTGCTGAAGCTCTTTTCTGCACCCCCCTCACTTCCTTCTGCAGAGCACGATGTTAGCAGGGACACCTCAGGCACGCTGCTGTCCCCGCTGCTGCGGTGTGCAAAGGATGAGCCAGAGAGCCGTAAGTACCAACCTGCCCTGCTGCACCAAGCTGCACGGCCACAGCTCCAGCCCAAGCCCAGGCCAGCATGATGGGAATGGGGGGCTTAGAGGATCAGAGGATCCATCACGTGTCCCTCATCAGGGATGCTCAATGGTGGGAGCGTTGGGATTTCCCCCTCCAGAGGCTTCAGCCAGAGGTCGAACCAGCCCCAGAGCATGAGGTGATGGCTGGGACAGGGCAGGAAGGGGTCTCCAGCTCTGACCCAGCCTGAGAGCATGGCAAGGCTGCTGGCCGCCCCATGGCAGATTGTGGGGCACAAGGTCTGTAAGGGGCAGTGGCCCCAATACAGCCCGGGGGTCTCTTGTGGCTGTGTGGCACTGCAGGGCATGTGACTCCCCTTCCTTTGTCAGGTCCTGGCTCCCCCCTTCCCCAGTAATAACATATGTCTTTGGTTGAGTTAGGACTGTGTGTGAGGGCCAGAGGTGCTTGCAGCTCCCATGCCCCGCAGCCCACCCAGGGGCATATCTTGCACCCCCCCAGGGAGTTTGGCACTGAGGTGATGCAGGATACATCCCTGAGTCTGATTTGCGTGGGTGCCCCGGCCAGCATCCCACACTGGGTAACTGCCTTCTGTCTCCCTAAATTCCCCCTGCAGTTTCAAGTGGATATGGGATTCTCCTTCACTTCCAGTCCTAGTCTGTTGTGTAGCGTTCCTGCGCGCTGCTCCGCCGCTGCTGCCTTCCAGCCCAGGGGTGGCTGCATTGCAGTGGTGGGTGAGTGACTCCTGCTTTTGTACCTAGCTCTGAAATGCTTTGGGGCCCTGCAGGGCACTGTGGAGCTGTGGCTAGGGCATGTTGGGCTGTGGGGCTGGCCGAGGCAAGCCAGGCAGACCCTGGGCTGGTGGTGGTCCCCTGGCAAGTCCTGTCAGATGGCGTATCTCTCCTCTCTGCTTTCTCCTAGCAGCTGGTGGGGAACTCATCGCTGGAGTGCCACCCACGCCCCCCACCATGCCACGTAAGGCTTTCCTTGTCCTGCTCAGCCCAGTAAAGCCCAGTAAACCCCCTCAGCCCCACGAGCAGGGTCTGATACGGTTCTCGTTGCAGACACCAGTTGCTGCTTCCCTCCTGTCTCCATCCTGGGTGAGTATCATATCCTGGCTACTCTGCTTGTGTGCCCTGGGGCAGGAGGTGGCTGCAGCTCACAGGCTGTATCTGCTCTCGTTCCAGGCTGTCACACTGACCTGAAGCAGGAAGGAACAGAGGGAAAGGCTGGTAAGTGTCTGCAGTTTTGAGCAAGTTCTCCTGGTCCAGGGGACAGCTCTGTCCTGTCCTGCCAGCGGGAGTGCAGGGCCTGGGCTCCCAGAGGCAGTGCCTTCCCAGGTCTCTGTGTGGGGTCAAGCTGAGCATGGGGTTTGGGTGCCTCCATCACTCTGGTTGTTTCCTCCATACCAAGCTATCATGGCACGTTTTCCTGGTGAGACGTCCCTGGGGATGGGAAGAGGAAACCAAATGCTGCCAGTGGCTGTCGCAGCCTCAGGCTCCCAAGGGACAGCTGCCATGAGCGAGCAGCCGGCAGCAGGTGAAGATGCATCAGATGCAAGCCTTCATGGTGGGTCCTCCCTGCAGCATCCCAAAAGCCTCACAAGGAGCTCTCAGAGCCATGGTGAGGGTTTGCTGCCATTAACCCCTCTCTCACTGCAGGGCCCGGCGTGGCAAGCTTGCTCCAGAATGTTCAGCAACTGCTGGTACAGATCCTGCAGACGTCACGGCAGCAGCAGGCACTACTGGAGAGCCTGGCCAGCGACACAGTCTCCCACCTCCAGCTCCTCTCCCACAGCCTCGTGCAGGTGGGCGAGACCCTGCACCAGCTCCTGCTCCGGCCACAGACCCATCCTGGCCCCCTTGGCCACTACATGCCCCATGTGCCCCTTTTTGAGGGTGGCCCTGGAATGCCCTGCTTCCCTGGCACTCCCCACACCTCCCCAGATTGCAAAGAGGAGCCTCAGCTGTCCCCTGCCACCAGTTGCACGCCACCATGAGTGCCACCATCACCTGCCCCAGGAGCAACAGCTTTGCTACGCAGCCACAGCACAAATCTGTATAGCAGAGGTTCCAGATATTTTGAAAGTTTATAGAAGAGAGACATTTTAATAAAATTAAAAATAGCTTTTCTACCAGTGATGACAATTGACCAATTCTTTCCCCCTCTTTGGGGGATGTTCCCCTTCTCACTTTCAAGATGAGGAGGAGGGGAACTTGGCTATTTACAGCCTCAGAAACTCCCAGGCCAAACACTGGTGCAGATGTGCTTTGTCTGCCCCTTCCAGCAGCACCTGGGGCAGGCAGGACCCCTGCCTGGGGAGCATGCTGCTGAGCTGTGGAGCAGACTGGGGCCTCCAGGATTGGAGGGCAGGAAGCCCAGATATGCCAGGGTGCATCCCTGTCCAAGGGAAGAGGCTGGGGTGGGCGATGCTGGGTGGCACTGGGGCTGCGGGGGCAGTCTGTGCAGCAGCTGTAGGCCCTTGTTCTCTGGGTCCTTGGCAGGTCACTTCCAGCCAGTGCTGCGGGCCTCCCACATGCAGCAGTGAGGCCCTCCTGCTCCAGGAGGGATCCTCCTGCTTCAGTACATGGGTCACCATCAGGTAACAGTAGTTGTAGACATGCTGTGGCGTGTGGTGCTTGGCAAGAGGGCCACTGTCTCTTGCCCCAACTCCCCACCACCTTCAGCAGTTTGTGCACGTACTCCAAGGGGATGGGGCGATTTGCTGCCTCCAGAATCTCTTT